TTCATTTTCACTTAGCAGCCCCTCGACTTCCTGCAGTGGCAGACATGGATCAGGTCTCCAACAGGGGCAGAAAGGATGTGGAGGTAGGGCAAAGGAACAGAGAGAGGGAGAAAATGACATGGATGGGGAGAAAATAGAGTACAGAGAATGAGAGGTGAAATGAGGAGATACAGGGAGAAAGAGATGCCAGGAGAGATAAAAGAGGAGACAGGGAGGGAGACAGACAGGTATAAGGGGTAGAGAGAAGGAAAAATAGGGAGGGAGAGAGAGAGACATGAGTCAAAAGAGTGGGAGGAAAGGGAGAGGTAGGTAGAAATAGGGGAGAGGGGAGGTAGAGAGAGAGGGAAGGGTATAGATAGGGGAAAAGAGAGATGGAGAGAAAGGAAAAAAGAAAAGGTAGGAAAACAGAGAGATCGGACAGACCAAGAGAAGGAGAACAGAACAGAGAGAGAGGACAGAGAGAGTCAGGGAAAGAAATGTGTGAGGAAGAGAGAGGAATGGGAGAGAGAGAAACAAGAAGTCAGAAAAAGAGATAAAGAAAAGAGAAATGATGGCAGATAGGTACAGGTGGGGGAGAGACAAAGAGAAGGTTGGGGAGAGAAACCAGAGTCAGAGAGAGAGGAAATGAAGACAGAGAGAAGGATAAAAAGAAAGGGAGAAGGAAAGACTCAGAGAGAAGCACAGGGTGAAAGATGAATGAAGACAGGTAAACAAAGACAGACACAGTAACATATGGCAGTGAAATGATAGTCATGGATGCAAGTGTACACACAGAGAAAGGCCAGTACCAGGAGATCCCAGCATACAGCAATATCCCTGCTAAGACAGTCTCCCAGACACATTCACCCATCATGGGTCCCCTTACCTGAGCTTTCTTGCTCTTGCTCAGTGCCTAAAGGTGAGGGGGAGGGGAGAGAGAAAAGGTAAACAGGGAGGGACAAGTGTCAAGGGGGGACAATGTCAACAGGGGTTGGGGGATGGTAGCTTGCATGACAATTTGTAGCCTACAAGAATGATGCAGTGACTGGCATCCTGCTTACATCCTTTCCTCTCTTAGTAAGCTCTTGAGGCTGTTCGTGGGTCTTAGTATTTAACCCTTCATGGGTTGGGTCTCCAGGCTCAGACATTGTGGCTGTATTGCTACATCTGTCCAAACAGGTCTATGTAGATCCCTGTCATGCAGCAGGGAAACTGCTGTTCCACTGCTGAGCAGCTGAGGGCATTGTCAGGTAGGGAAATCAGCACGCTACCAAAGAAAAGCCCAGTTTCCCGACTTTCTGCATTCTGTATTCCTTCATCTAACGTGTATTTCTGGAGCACACATTATGTATAACAATGTGGTATGCATAGACACATAGCAGTGAAGAAAGAGACAGAGGAGGGCCTTGAATGCCTTGAGGGGCCACAATAGCTTATATGCTATCTCATCTTCAGAGGCCTGGAGATGGTAGGTCCAGTCTCACTTTACCAACAGGACCAGAACAAGGATGGAAAGTAGGAGCAAAAGGCAGGAGAGTGGAGGAGAGGAGGAAGATTCAAAGCAGATTTACCACTAGATTTGACTCTTTAGTTAAATGTTTGTGAATGAGAATAAGTATGTAATTGAAATTAAAAATGAATTAAGAGTAAATTAAAATTAATCGATAAATTAAGCAGGATTAGATGAAATTTGCAAACTAAAGAGATTTCATGAGAATTTGTTGAATGACTAATGATAGCATGTAACATTAGATTTGGTTCACAGAGGGGCTCGCTGGAGCGATGAATGAGTCAGATGGCTACAGGGAAGCATGAGTGGGTGAGTGGTGGAGGGATCTACCTTCTGAGCTTTGTTGAACTCCTTATCCAGGTAGGCGAC